ATGCGAGTTGAGAGATTTTATTTGGGAAATACATCTTTATATAATGGCACTTTTTATTAATTTCAAGAAAATTGATATAAATAAATAAATTTTACCAAAAATAAGTAAGCAATTTTAATATTTTTAACTAAACATAACCCCTTTCAAATGCATTACTTGAAAACCCATTTTATTAAAACAGTGAAATCACAGTTAAGTTTATCGAGTTCGTGCCCAAAATTTCTAAAAAATTCAATGAAAACAGGTCGATATTCGGTTTCACTTTCACGGGACCAAACCCTCTCTTTCAAATTAAGCTCAAACGCGTATTAAAAGCGGAGAACCGACAGAAATCAATCCAAAATCGGGGGGAACCATCACAGACTCTCTAATCTAATTGAAAAATCGCCACCTTGAGAGTATTCACCCATCGAATTCACACGCTGGCGTTAAAACTCTTGGCCCAGACTCTTGACTTTTTATTTCACGCATTCGCAATGAAAGTGAAAAGCTTATAAATACACATAAATGAAGAAGGGCTTTTGAAGCGGAAGAAAAGGAAACTAATAAAATGATTTGAAAACTATTTCGAGGCTAAGATAACGATTACTAAAAGCTGGCCAATCGTCTTCTTGCCAAATTCGTGTGGGGCATATAGATACTTCTTTTTTTTTTTTTTGCTTTTTGGCCGGTTTCTTTTGGCCAAAACAATGGAGAGCTCGGCAGCTTGGCAAATGAAATGAAGAAGAAAGTCAAAGAAACCGTTAAAAGTGAATTTCTTCTACGACTGCTATTGCCGACTATTATTAGTTGGCGTTTTTTTTTTTGGTTTTTGGTTTTGGCTGCGACGTGCGCTTTCTATTTGCGTTTTGTTTATTGTTTACCTATGATAGATGAACGTATCAGTTTCCAGGTGCTTGTTTTTGTCGCTGTGTGGATGTGAGTTGGGCATAAAACCAATTTGGCGTTGAATGAATTTTTATTCGGCTTCAAAATGAAACAACAAAAAGGTCTTAAACAACTAAAATGCATAAATAAACTGCTAACGACAACTGCATACACAATTTGTAACTTTTACAATACGATTGCGATCCCTTTTGATTGGCAAAGTGCGTTTATTTTATGTTGAGTATTGCTATTGAGCATAAAATAATTGTGTTGAACTTATTGAAATGGTTATTAGTTTGTTTACAGTTTTTAATTCGACAAAATATACTTTTAATGAGTTTAGTTATGAATAAAAAAATAGCATTAAATATATCTAAATAAATATCGTTGTAAGCAACGTGAAAAAATGCAAGAAAGTGGAAACTCATTATCAAATTATGTTATTCAATTTTTACAGGAGACAAACAGACGCCTCACCTTTCGGATCAGGGGCGCTTTAACAAGAGTCAAAAGTGTACATTAAAGTGGATTAACGAGCACTTAACCTTTTTTATATTTTTACCCAAAACACAGACCAAACTTTGGATACAATAAATACATATAAATTTATTTAAGCCAAGGCTGTCCGCCAAAATAACCAATGCATAAACTGCATTGAATTTATTGCATTCGCAATGCTAAAGCAATTAAATAAATGCCGAACTCCCGAACACACCACCTCCTCAACTAAATGGGATGGCATAAATGGCGTGCCATTAAACAATAAACTAAATAGCAAATGTGAGAAACCGATGCACTTATTGTGGCCTACACATGCCTAGTCAAGGCGTAAGTAAGTAAGCAATTAAAGCGAAGGTAGTTGCTTAACTAGCAAATTGAATTATAAGACAATTGGCTGCAGTTCCTTCTGGGCTTTTCAACCAGACAAAACATAACCTAGAGATGTTTTTCCCCAAGAATTATGGCCTAGCATATATAAATAACTACATAAAATCTAATGAGGTTTGTTATTTACGACCTTTTGTTGCACTCAGTGCGTCATTCATACAAATTAAATACCAGATGGCAGAGGATTACATGAATTTTAATCGTTTATTATAATACAGTGCATTCTCTGAATAGTAGAAAACATAAATTAAATAGTTTGAAATTAAGTGCTGAACATTGTCACTATTTCATAATAGTTTAATTTAATTAATTTTTTTAAAAAAAAAGCTTGTGAAAAAGGTACCGTATTTGATGTATTAGCCATAATCAGTAGAACAAATGAAATACAAAGTGCTGATAGTCGTTTGCTAGCTGATAAGAAAACATCAATCCGCTTGCTTGAGAAAAATAGAGAACAGAACCCGACCGGAATTCACTTCAAAAATTACGTATACGGCGCAGGTCACAGTTTTAAAGCCAAATAAAGCACAGTTTTTAGGGCACTGGCTTCGAATCAGCTGTTTATTGGAGCTGCAAATAGCGCGAAAGTCAACAACGCGGGCGATAAATATTGATAAATACGTGCAATAAACCAGATCCCAATATGCAACTAGTGAAATTGCATAACTCAAAAAGTAAAAATAAAAGAAAAAACGAAAAAAGGAAAAAAGGAAGAAAAACACTAGAGACTTGTCAACGATATAAAAATAATGACAAACTACAGACAGACCAGAAAGAGACATAATTATCGGGCCAGAAAGAGAGGCAGACGAAAAACTTCACCTTGCAAAAATGCAGGGAAAAACACATGGAAACGTAGAAAAACAGAGGCGTTTGGCCAAATGGAAAAAAATGCCAAGCCAAGGCACAATAATAAATAAAAGCGCCAGCTTCCGCCAACAACAACACTGATGCGACTGTGGGCGCAACAAGTTGTTTTTCACGCTACCTGCACAAAAGCAATGGCCAACAACCAGCGACCAATTTCACTTTCATTTTCTTTTTGGTTTTGCAGCAAAGCGCCGAAGAAAAGAAAAGCGGACAGGCAAAAGCCAAAGTCACGCAGACGCATTAGCGGCCAAAGAGTTGGGTTTGCTTTTGCTGCAAGCGCAGCCAATGCACTCTGCACCGTGAAAAAAATCGATTTGCATTGAAAATAGTTTTTTAAGTTTTCGGGATTTATTCTACTTTTGTTCATTGATATGGCGTATAGCCAATTATTTTCAACTTTTAAAAGTAAAAGATGAATTTTATAACCAAAACAAGTAAAGTATTTAAAAGACTATAAATACATTGAAAAGTCAAAATATTTATTTTTCCAAACAAAAACCATGGAACCATGTTGCATGAAATCTTCGAGAATCCATTTTAAAAGTTTTATGAAAGCTAGAAATATAAAAAATATAAGATAATTCGCCATAAAATAATAAAAAACTCGACAAAGATAACAACGTTTTAAAGTGAATTGTTTTTAATTTGCTTCAGACATTGTTTTCCGTGTAGTTGTCTTGCAATAAATTAAGATTAAAACAAGTAAAGTATTTAAAACACTATACAAGTTTTCTAAAAGTATACCAAAACGATTCAGAACTTTTAATTTGGAATTTATTTAAAAAGGACTCTTTAGAAAATAAAAATATTTTTAAGTGAATTTTTTTATAAACAAAAACTTCCCATAAATAAAAACGTTTTTAAGTGAATTGTTTGCAATCCGTTTTAGATATTGTTTTATGTGTATGCCATTCACGATGAACTCACCAGCAAATCTGGATAATCCTTGCCCATGCTGAAGCTTAATCCGTGGAAAAGTCGCATGGCCTGCAGTTGAACCTTGGGTGGATTAAATCCGGTCGATGGGGATGGGTTTGTAAGTCCTGGGCGGGATCCAAAAAGTTGATATAGCAACTTGTGTGTCTGCTGGCGACGCGAACCGCACACGACGCGACCGGAAGTGCTCAAACAGGCCATTTTTTTAAAATTTTATTAGCAAAGGTTTTTCTAAGGGGGTAAGGGTTTTAAATTCTTGTTTTTTTCGGTAAGAATTGTACGCTTTGAGTGAGACACAGGCACAGAATTCAACAGGTGAACCGCATTATAATATGTTTTTTTGTTTATATTTTAACAGGATCGCAGGATTTTAGAAACGCGCGATTTTGGGATGAACTACAGGCGATTTTCGTGGCGACAGCGAAGCGCGGTTTGCTTGCGTTTGGCTTCAGCAGCTCCAGCGAAGTGTTTTCGCTTTTTGTGGATTTTACGAATTGATGCGCGTGCGCGCCGTCAGGTGTGGTGAATATCCGGTTGTGAGGTAAAAACGATCGCATACGAAGCTCTAAGATCGGCTTGAACTTGAAACTGTGTTTTTGGTGGATATATCACCGCGTACAGTTTGGCAGCCACTGAATTTCAGGGGTCAGGGGCTATTTTGTAGATGACCCCTGTTTACCTGTCGCAGGCACGCTATTTTTGGGTTTGCTCCAGACTTAAGCCCCTCTTCATAAGGGCTGCTCCGCTTGGCAGCCACTACCTTCCGCCTGCCGCCAGTGTTCTCATGTTCTACAATCACTGGGCCACTCGCAAAAAGCCCCTTGCAACACGTTTTCCGCCCTAGGAAATAGTTTTTATTTAACTCGCACGCAATTTGCACCTTTTCACTACTTTATTTTGACGTAACAGTGCAGAACAGCTGGTGCGAACAGCTGTTCAGGGTTGCCACGTGCGCGCTGTTGCAAGGCAGCCGGCTTAACGAAACGCTAGAGATGAGTAAAGTAACTCTATAAAGGTTGTTATTTTCAACGGAATTCTTGGATTTTAATAAAATATAAAAGTTGCGTTTATTTTAGCAGCTCTTCATTGCGATAAAACTGTGTCTACAGATATGATTGAATAAACATAAACATAAAATAAACTGACATAATATAATTGCTGTCCTGTATCTGATAATTAATACTTTATTTAAAGGGGAATCACGTTACAAGTTAAACTTTATGCAACTTAAGAGGTGTGTTAATTTATACGGCAACAAATAATTAAGTATGTAAGTTACATTTTAAATTTTTCAGTTTATTTTTCTGTATATTTAAGTCGAAAACCAATGAAATTCGTTTTAACACCATAAATATATTAACAAAATGACACGATACTCTCGTGCTTTGCTTACGTTATTTTCTTGTTTATATTTTGATATATCGATAGCTCAGCTGTTGTCTAATGCTCACCTCTATTCACGTTTACGTAAACCAGCCATTCTAAAGCCGTAAAATGTCTAGAAATTTGTTTTTATCAATAACAAACTTTGTAAGAAACGTGGAGCGCCTGTTTCTGCCACATGGAGGACATCCACCAGGTGAGAGGTACCACTTACCTTTGATATTGCCATTATTAACCACTCATTTAAATAGCATTGGCATTGGCCGGTTTTCAGCATGAGCACAGCCGGAAGACCTGCCAGGAATTCAGTTTAAAGAAGTTAATTGGCGACGGAATGTTGTGGGCTGTGCCAAAACACCGGAGATCCGTGGAAAAGCGTCTAAAGCGGAAGTTTGGCTTTCCGGAATACAATTGGAAGCCGCTGGTGGCAAAAAGAAACATCCGCTCGTGTTTGCAATGTGGACATGACCACGAAATGGGGGTTCTATGTCGTAAGTATCATTTAAAACGTAAAAACCATTAACTTCTTATCAATTTTCCTGCGTTAGCCTTCTGCTATCAGAAAGTTTTGAAGGAAACGGAGCTCATGCAGTCGAAAATCCAGGAGACACTTGGTCTGGAGCCAGTGGACAAGGAAGTAATCGTTCTTTATGAAGGCGAAAAGGCCCAACAATCCTCTGAAGAGCTGAAGGGCAAACGCATCGTGGAGATGAAGAAGCCCCGTCCCATGTGGTTCACCAAGAATCTGCTCCAGAAATCGACGCAGCAGTTTTCCGAAACCAAGGAGGTCAAGCCCTCCGATTTAGCCTAGATATTAAGCTTCCATTGTGCATTAAAAACACTCATTTGTTATCAATTTGAAACTAGTTTATTGTCTGTAAAACTAAGGGACATGGCTTGCTTGAGGAAACCATTGTTAAAGTCCTGAGCACTCATTGGTTTTTTACCTTCTATTCTCAGTTGAAGAACTTCCAATTGAGTTTCTTCAGCACATCCTATCAGCAGTGATTTACTCTTCCTTTGATAGATGAAATTGCCAGGTTTTTGCGTTATAAGTGACTTTTCCGGTAATCGTAACTCAAGCAGCTGCACTAGCTTGCCCAAAAAGTTGGTGGTTAGATTTTTATAGCCATACAAAGCTCTATGACGAGCGTATATGTCCAGTGCACTAAGCTCCGACCAGTTGATCTCCGTGATTTTGTTTGTGACCTTGGGAGCTTAATGGGAGTTTATAGTTTAAATAGGTGAGCCGGATATCTGTCACATATTTTACCATAGCTAGCTTTTGCTTTATCCTGGGATTTGGCTTCTTTTTGTCTCTCTGACAGGTTGTTTACGGTATCCACCAGTAGATCAGCTCCTAACAAAGCCAAAGAGGCATGCAATTCGGGCATGAAGACATCTGGTTTTATAGCCACTTCCCGTTGGGCTAAAATCTAAAATAAAATGTTTAAAAATCTTTAAAAGTAGGCTTAAATAACCAAGAACTTACAGCTCCTATATCAAAATGATGGGGTTCGATTTTCATAATGGAAACGCCAGTGCTGGTATCTCTTTTCATAATGGCATAAATAATTGGAGCAGCACCTCGCCATTTGGGTAGCAGACTAGCATGTACATTGATCATTCCATGGCGGAATCCATTGATTATATTAGCAGGTATCAGGTGGCCAAAGGAAACAACTACACCCAGATCAAATTTTGAACACTCAGATGGTTCTATGGGCCACTTTTGCAAAGGGAGTTTCTCTTTCTCGGCGTAGCTCCTCACCGAATTGGCCGGACTTTTAAAGGATGTTACCACTCCCAGACAATCACGATGGCTATAATACATTTATTAATAATAACATTTAATTTTTTAACATGCCACTTACCTGCAATTTTTGTGTAGCGCCTGCAAACTGGGCAGAGAAAAGTTGTCGGTGCCAAAAAACAGAATTTTCGGTGGATGGTCGGTGCTATTGCAGTGCTTTGTCATAAGATTTACATTCTGCCACACTTTTCTCTTATATTTGAAAAAATTATTAACTAAACTCTGGCCGCAAAACATTGTAAAATGTGTTGGATAATATGCCGCGTAAACAAAAACAGCTGTTCGCGATGTAAGCTGGGCACTCTACGAAATAACGTAATGAAAATACCAAAACACAAAAACCTTCTTGATGGGAAAAACAATCGATTTCAATTGTGACATTATTACAGTTTTTGATAGATAAAATCCATCATGAAATAAAAAAGCGTGTCTTTAATCTAGTTATAGTTGAAAAACTTTTTAATACAAATTTTATAAGAATGTGTTTGAACCTTTGCTTTTTTATACATATGTGCCAATAGAGTTGAGGCCTAAAAAATGGTAGTCGACCATCGGTATGACTTTTAGTATTTTTGAAGCCTGTAGTACGGTCACATAAATGAGAACGCAACAATAGGCCGAGAAAAACGAAATCGCCAAGTAAACTTACATATTTTAGAGTCCAATTGGGCTGATATATTGTCATGCAAAGTGCCTGCGAAACCAAGGGACTTGCAATGGAGGTCACTAGTGCTAAGATCACAGCCCTAACCACATCCACGTCCACTTCCGGATGCACAAACTCCAATGCCAACAGTGATAAAATGAACTACGCACTGCAAGTCGCCCTGCAAACGATCAAAGAAAGATGCATCCAGTTGCAAAGACGTGTGGCCAACATGGAGGAGGAGAACCAGCGATTGAGGGAGGTCTCTTCGCGGACAGAGGGTGCTCCTCCGCTTGTCACCGGAATCACCGGGGATGTCCTCTCCCTGCGCGCACAAGTATCCGAATTGCAGCGCCAAAAGGAGCAGTTGGAGGAGCACATTGGCATGGTCTCGAATGAGAACCGGCGCCTGTGGTCCCGCTTATCGCAGATTTCCAAGGATCAGCAGCAGCTACACCCAGTGCCCAGCTCCCCAGCACAGCAAAACCAGAATCTAGTGCGCTCCAAGACCTTCACCCAGCACTCACCCAATCCTCATCTGCGCCAAAAGATGCTTTCCGATGGTCTCAAGGATCTAAGTCTAGAGGAGATTGCCCTGGATGACTTTGGGGCCAGTAATGAGGAGCTGGGCTATCCTTACAATCTGCAAAAGGTGGAGGAGTCGACCAGCGAATCACCAGATACCAATGTGGATGCCAAAAGATGCATGGACGGATTGCAGGAGATGAGGCGGGAGGCAATGAAGCAGCAGCAGGAGCTCAGCTCGGCATTGACTTTACTAGAAGGTCGCTTTGGTAAGGGACACTCGCTGAAAAGTAAATAGCAGATAGAAGGAAGCTCGTCCGGCCCTATAAAGTATACAGATCTAGCCATGTCTGTGTTTGCTGTCCGTCTGTCCGTTCGCATAAACAATGAGATCTAGAAAATGTATGCCTTGTTTATTTCAGCTATTATGCTGTACATGTTTATTCGGTCAATTTGTATCGACGCTCCAATCGATTTCAAATCGAACCTATATTTCAAAAGCTTTAAGCAGAAGTGTTTTTTAATATTATAATACTATATGCTTAAGTTGAGCAGATGGCACCATTTGCTTTGTGGGGGCATATTTACCTGAGTAAGGGTGTATAATAGTCGGAGAGTTTACTTCTTGTTTTTATATAATCTTAAAATGCGTCCTTGTAACCATTGTTTTTTTCTATTTTTAAAACCAAAAGCACTGCAACCATGCCCAGAGTGCGCCCAGAAAACGGCCAAGAAACCGGAGATGGCCGACAAAAGCCTAGAAACGGATGACAGCCTCACCAGCGAACTGAAGATCCATGAAAGCCAACACAATGGACACAATGGAACGCCGCCCAGCCAGAGGATTAACATCATACAAGAAAAAATCAAGGCCGATGCAGCAGATGCCATGGAGAAGACATGTCCTATGTGCGGCAAACTGTATTCCAGCCAGGTGTCCTTCAATGCCTTCCGCGAGCACGTGGAGATGCACTTCATCGACGATGATGCCCTCGAATTGGAACCGGCGGAGAGCAGCGTGGAGCGGCAATTCGAGTTCATTTCGCATGCGGTGGGCGACTTCTGACCCAGCAGGCGCATCTATTTCGCCACCGAGCTCTGACCTATGGTAACATCCCAAGTTAAGATTGCAGTTTGACTGCCCACAAACCGCGTGCTTGTTACGTTTCTATTGATTAGCCCTGTAAGCGTACATATATCAAAATTTGGTTACATTCTACCTATAATATATATATATAATATCTACCATGAGTGTGCATGAATACTTAGTTATTAGTGACAATACAAAATACAGTTTAAATGTAAAGCCTGATAAAAATGTTAAGCCGCTTTCTTCGGTGGGAAAAGTGAAACTACCGCCCTGGCCAACATATTTATTATTATATGTGTTTTATCAATGCTGTCACATAATGATGTTAAAAATAATATATTATCAATGCTGACAAATGATGTTGCCAACGCCTAATTGACCGCTCTTGTGAGAGTCACCCACTTTGAGGGAATTATGGAACTTTCGACAAAGAATTTGTGGTTAAAAAAATTATGTTGTAACTGGTCAGAGGATTTCCCTGCTCTTTTTGAAATGACGTATGGCGAAACCCGTCCGGCAGCTTCTGCCTAGATTTGCCATTAATAACAATTCAAATGCAAATGCTCACAGCTACTTTCTAATAATGGATTTGGAAAGGGCTCAGCAGGGACTAAGCTTAATAAGGAAAAAACCTGATCTAACTTATGCAAATTTGTTTATTGAATTAAATATTTGAAACGTGCCAACTTTCGGAAATCTTTTTTAATATTGTTATTTTTTTAAAATTTTTTATGATGGATTTCCCTATAGGCAGGCCAAGGAAAATTGCAAAAATATAGTTTTATTTTCGCAAATGAAATCGAAATGTAGTTTCTTACTTTTGTAAAAATTAGTAAGTAATTATATAACACATTTAAAAAAATTAAAAATTAATTTTTGGTTGATTTACGATTCTTTTCGATAGATGCATTATAGAATTTTTAACCAACCCATTCACCAATTAAAGCTTAAAGAATTTGTAAGAGTTCAACCAACTTTGGCAAGATCTTTTCCGCATTTCCAGCAATTATCATATGATTTTCCTTAGCTCTAATGGTCTATATTACGCAGAGACCATCATTTATCATTTCGAAAACTTCAGTTGCAATTAGGCTGGCACTTGTTGCTACCGTTTGGCGCCAATCACGCCCCACTTAGGTTTCGAATTCAGATCCGATCCGATTCCATTCCAACTCCCCAGTCTTCAAAACGACGTGGGCATCGCGTAGACCCCACTTAACTATAAAAGGTATCGGGGTATTTGTGAGCCGTTTCAGTTGTTCGAGGTTCGCAGTCGCAGCAGCACCATAAAAGTTTACATATCTCCCGCACATTCGCTACTCAGATAAATTATGTAAAATCGAAAACGACGCGAGATAAAATACAAAGACACACGCGTTAGTTGGAATCAAATATAGTTATTATATCGTGATCAGAACAATCTCATTTGTAATCTGCACAACAATGCAGCCCAATGCTTTTCACAAGCTTTTACTATTACTACCGCTCGCCTATCAACATACATCTAATGGTAATTTAATCCCAGAAGATACCATCAATGGGAACTTCGAGGAGTGATACAAAAGTGTAATAACTAGCCTTCAATGGCAGAAAAATAAAAATAAAATGGTATAACTAAGTTATGTTTTTAGAGCTGAAAATGTATATTTTGACGCGGTGCTTACCCATAAAATGTTTTTTCAATCCATTTACCGGTTGATCTTTTATTTGAAATTCGATATATATTCTATATAATTTTTTGAGTCTTTTTGTGATCTTAGGATTCTTAATTTTTTCATTGTTAGATACTGTGCTATCTTAAACTTGTAAAACAATTTAAGATATGTTATAATAAGTTAAGGTTAAGTTACAAAATAAGTTTAGCTTACAGTTTAGGTATGCAGTCCATTTATTTTTACAAACTAGGGTAATTAATCATTCTGCCATAATCATGAATTGAAACGAGAGTGTCGAATCAAAACAGAAGCGAAATTATTCACGGTCTTTGCTAATAGGATTACCATATGCTTTATGGTCTGAAAGAAAGTGAAAACAATTGAGAGTTTGATTTTTTTTACTCAATTTGAAACTTACAGGTGCCCGTGATGAATCACATTGGAACTACGAGACGAACGGAAAGAATTGGGGCGGAGTTTGTTCTTCGGGAGTAAGGCAATCACCCATTTCATTGAATGTTCAAAAAGTAAGTTTTAATATTTATACAAATTAAGATATATGTTTAATTGGAAAAGTTTTACTGATAACTAATTCTTTATTTAACCGGGCAAACAAGCTTAAATCACAATCGTGTTACTGTAAATAAAAATGAAAAAAAAAAAATTAGTAACACCAAATGTATATAAACTAGCCGAATCAAAAATGCGGCTCCGTTTTATATGCGCATCTATTAAAAATTTGTTTTTGCCTAACAAAATTTTCGGTGAACTAGTCTACATACTTTTTTTAATGACAACAAATTCTATCGAACAGAATTTTTCCATAAAAAATGTCTATTCAATATAAGTTATACGGTAGTCTTGCAATTTCTACCAGGAAATAAAAAAATAGGCTCTATTATTCCCATAAAGTTATGTAATTTGCCATGATGAATAGATAATTGGGTTACAACATTCATCTATGCCCAAAATGATACCCGAAATCGACACTTTTTAGCGCCACTTTTACCATTACAAGGGGTAAATTGGTGGAAAATTGTAAGCTAATTTATTTCAATAACTAATATGTAATGTCATGCTTTCTGCCAGTCCCTCATTGTGCCATTGCCTCGGATCGCTTTCGGAAACTATGACATAAAGTTGAAGGGGCCGCTCACCCTTCTCAATAATGGACATACAGGTAAGCTGTAGCAAATAGCTTATAACGAAGAACTACTAATTATTTGCCAGTTAACATGGACATACCCGAAACGACAAACGGCAAGAAACCCTTTATCACCGGAGGCCTCTTGAAGGGTCGTTATGTGGCCGATGGTCTACACTTCCATTGGGGATCCCCCGATTCCCGGGGATCTGAACATTTGATCAACAAGCAGCGCTTCGACGTGGAAATGCACATCGTCCATCGAAATGCTAAATACCAAGATATCGTCGAGGCAGTTAATCACAAAGATGGATTGGCTGTTATTGCTGTTTTGTTCAAAGTTGTAAAGGTAATGCAGAAATATTTTTAATTTTATAGCAATAATAATAATAATAATGCTACTATATACAGTTGCGCTCAAAGGTGCTGGTAATTGAAGATTTTTGGTTAATTTCCTAAATTGTTATAAAATTAAATGAAAAGTTAAGTTTAAGGAAATATTAAGAGTTTTTAGTAATCTGAAAAATAAGTAAAAATAATAATAATATTGACATTATTTGCTATTATTTAGGTAGGTAGATGAGCACTATGATAAATTAAAAGAAAAGTTCTTTTAAGCCTTAAAGGCATGTTTTTGAGCACATAACGTTGTTCTACTACTATTTACTTGACCGAAGCTGTGTATACAACATAATAACTTTTGGAACTTTTATTTTCTAACGTCGCGTGACCAAACATTCAAGTACGTCTGCAATGAAAATCTAAACCTTAAACCAAAATTTCTCGAAAAAAAAATTACGTGCCATTACGTGAAAATAAAGATGATTGTTTATTTACTCGGCATTGTTTTGTATGAACAAAACTTTTAAATAAAAGAAACCATTTTTGGGTTCAACAAAGATATGACGAACTTACATTGCTCCCTAGTATTTTTGTTAAAAACCATAAAAATAAAATAAACCAATTTTTAATTATATTTTATGTGCTTTTCCATAGAATCCCAAACTCATATTTCCGGGCCTAAACAAAGTTTTTGGTGCATTGCCAAGAGTCACGAAGTATTCGTCGAGAACAACCATTCCGGGGGGCTTAAGCTTGGGTCAGATGCTGGGGAATGTGAATCCCCGCGACTTCTTCACCTATCGAGGATCTCTGACCACGCCTATTTGCCAGGAGGCCGTCACCTGGAGTGTGTTTTCGCAAGTCCTGCCGGTATCCTATTCATCGGTATCCAGATTTTTTAAATTGCGAGACTCAGAGGGCCACAGGCTTATCAACAACTTCCGTGGTATCCAACAGCGAAATGGGAGACCGGTGTTCTATAGAGTCGGAAAAGATCTGAGTGGTGCCTACCTGGGAAAGTGATGGTATTATAATTAGTTAAAAGTTCTGTATTTATTTTAGTTTTTAAAGAAAAATAAACTATGTTATGTGTTTGCAAACTACATTTTATTTCAAAAACAAACAGCTGAAAGTAAATCGAGTTCGACTAAATCCCACTTAACTATAAAACTTATCTTGATATTTGTGAGCCGATTCAGTTGTACACAGATTTCTGTCACAGTACCAGTACCACTCTTAAAATAAACAATTTCTACCGTATATTCGCATCGGATTAATTGTGTAAATTCGAAAGCGACGCTATATAAAACACGCGTGTGTTTGTTGCAATTTATTACTATTGTAGTATCGTTAACAGAAGAACCACATTTGCAATTTACAACAATGCAGCCAAACGTTTTTCACAAGCTTTTACTTTTTCTACTGCTCGTTTATCAGCATACATCAAACGGTAATTTAAATCCCAGAAATGGAAACTCGAGGAGTGATACTTGGAAACTGAAATTAAAATGAGGTAAAAAAAATCATTTTAGTCACAGTTATTATGCATTTCAAATCCATTCAACGGTTGGTTTTTTAGAAAAAGAACTTATATTTTGATTTCGATACTCAACTAATTTGTATAGAAAACATTCTAAATACAAGAATGGCTTGGTGTCATTCTGTAAATGAGTTTACTTAAACAATTCGGAACTTTTAAAAAGGTCTCATGTTAAGTAGCTAAATTTCGAATTTAACCTGCAGGTGCTGATTGGAATCACAAGACGAACGGGAGAAGTTGGAAAGGAAAATGTGCCTCGGGAGAAAAACAATCACCTATTTTGTTGAGTGCGGAAGTTAAGTTAAAGGCCAAGCTGAAAAGATTTGAAAACTCGAACTAAAAAGCATAAGAATATTCGGCATTAATAACTTTGGTATCTAAAAGTCTTTTAATGCAATATTTAAGGAAATGAAGGAGTGCACAAGGCTTAAGTACACTGATTTAAATTATTATTTAAATCTTTCGCAGGCTCGAATCTTGCTTATGCCTCGGATTGTTTTCGGAAACTATCGCGTTTAGTTGAGGGGACCGATATCCATTACTAATAATGGACATACAGGTAGTTCATTTCAATAATCGTCAACAGTTTAACGCAATGAAAAATGTTAAATTTGCAGTTGAAATGGACATCCCCGAAACGTCTAACGGACGGAAACCCTACATAGTTGGTGGCACTCTAAAGGGTCGCTATGTGGCCGACGGACTACAGTTTCATTGAGGATCCCCCGACTCCCGCGGATCAGAGCATTTAATTAATAAGCAACAATTCGACGTGGAACTGCACATTGTTCATCGGAATATTAAATACATAGATATAAACAAGGCAGCCGCTAAAAAAGATGGACTCGCTGTTGTTGCGGTCTTGTTTAAAATTGTTAAGGTACACCTAATCGTTTTAAATATGAAGCTTATTATAAAAATATAACTTAATAGTAAATGATAAAGAGTTTAGTATTTATTAAATTACAGGAACCCAAACGCATATTTCCAGGCTTACACAGAGTTATGAATGCCGTCGCAAAGATTCAAAAAGATGCAGCAAAAACGACTATTCCGGGCGGATCAGATGATTGGAAACGTGAATCCACATGACTTTTTCACGTATCGGGGATCGTTGACCACGCCCCTCTGACAGGAGGCGGTAACCTGGATTGTGTTCCCCGATGTCCTGCCCGTATCACGTTCCTCGGTATCCAAGTTTTGGAAATTGCGAGACCACGAGAATCACAAACTAATCAACAATTTGCGAAAAGTACAACATCTAAACGGACGACGTGTATTTCATAGAGTTGGAAAGTTTGTATGAGTCATTATAGCTATTTTTAAAATTAATAGATTATTTACATAATTAAAAAATATTTTGAATTCAAATGACAAGCGAGCTTTACCTAAAAATTTGGAATTTAAGGATATCATTTAGGCAAACTGGTCTGAATTTGTTTATATTAGTTTTTTTTTAAGTAAACTACATTATTGGTAAGATATGAAAGATTATGTAACACTTGGGTCAAGAGCACAGACGAAGGTTTTCTTTGTATTCATAAGTCGGATGCAGCTGCTTTAAATTTGGCTCAATTCGTTATCACAGCTGTTAAATTTCAATTTTTGAAACGTCATAGGCTCTTTTTGATGAATGAAATAACCAGTTTATTTTAAAAGATCATTAAAATTTTATTTTTGAGTTAAGTATTGTATTCAATTTAGACATGTGACTATTAAAGAGGAATTAAGCAAATAATTTATTATATCTGCAATTTCTTAGAATGCATTAAAGATAACTGCAAGCCGTTCTACTAAAGTCAACAAAAGTGGTAGTCCAGAATATTGAATTTATTACCCAAGATCAGTAAGGGCTGCGCTTTGCCTGAACTACAAGATAACCGCTTAATGAGTTTGCCTTTAATCTAGACAGATTTCCAGACATATTGACAGACAACAAAGCAATAACCATAAATTTAATAAGTTTTATCGGAAATTAATAAAAATGCATTTATTTGATATTAACTTGTTTTATATATATTTTAATATGGTTTATGGTAACTCCTAATCACACAGTAATTTTTATAGAAATCACCCGAGGATTAGATCCGAGAAATCAAAGCGAACCATAATAATAAATCCGAAAAGTTCTGTTGTGGGCTTTTAAGACCGAAGCTTTAAGTAGTTAGCTCATTCATTTATTAAAATAATATCAGTTATTTGTAATAATTCCTAATCATTATATATTTCATTCTAATCTTAATATTTTACTGAAATTTTTAAAGAAAACATTAAATCCATGAAATTGTAGCAAACTATAATAAGGAATTCTACTAGTTAGCTAGAAAAATATATAAAATATGGGTCCCTAAATACAAATTTATCCCAAGTTAGTTCATTCTTGCCTGTTTGATTAATAGAGCAATGATTCACATTGTTTGGGAACTTCTCTTTGCAATAATAGAATTGATTTGATGGTACGCCTCCTTCTTTCTGCCATTTAATTCTGATTCAGAGCAATCAGGCCCCTTGCGATCTAACCACAGTATAAAGAGAATGTAGGAGAGAGAACAGGATTCATTAATTACTGGCTCAGTGTCTCGGCCAAAGATAAAGTCAATTATCAAGCTGGTTTGGCAACCGCCAAAGTTGTAAAGCCATTTGCAATTTGAATGTAAATTGCGCCCATGGGCTGAGCTAAACTGATTACGCTTATCATTGCCTCTTATGCACACCCATTTAGAAATTATTGCAGTTTTCCCCCCGATTTTTGCTGGTATAAATGGTTCTGATCGGCACCGAGAAACTCACAGTCTGACTGGAATCTCCAACGGGAAGAGATCTGAACGTGGTAACGAGAAAAGTTTGTCATTGAAAATGTTCTGCTTTAGTTTTTGGTGGCTGCTAGCCTTCAGTGGAAGCACTTTTGCCTACATAGGTAAGTCTTGTAGGCCCTACACGCAATTACTAATAATAACAAACAGAAAAAATCGCAAATATTTGGATATATGGGCCATTTTGCCTATATAACAGATATAAGGTTCTTAAAATCTAATATGCAATTTTTGCAGGTAACAGACATAAAGTAAAAAATATTTTATACTATTATATTATTTTATTTTATACTGATTATTTTCGTTATTTTAGAAATAATTCTAAGTGTAGAGAGCTTTTATGTTTCTTATATTTTAGATAAAAAATTCTTTCGGTTATGTATTGACTATGGAAATATATTTCAGAGATACCGGGGGCTTATTTAGATGCTATAAAGCAGGATCGGAAAGATGATCAGTCGGCAGGCGAGTATAACTACGACGAGCAGGGCGATGATTGGACTGGAACCTGCCAAACTGGAGTAAACCAGACACCCATTGATTTGATTTTCGACGATGTAAGTTTACCGATCAGACAACATTTTCAAAAGCTTAAATCATTTATTGTTTAAATAGTCGAAAATAGTGAGCATTCCCCGTCTCCGTTTCTACAACTATGACCAAGCATTGCAAACTCCTTTGGTCATAACCAATAATGGACACACAGGTGGGTACTCACACTGATAAAAAAAAAACATAATACATCATACTATTTCACACTCAATTAAAATAATTTTCGACTTGGTCTACATTTGTTTCGGTTTTTAGTTATTTTAAATTTAACGTATATAAATACTACTTGATGATTATTTTCGGAGTAGTTTTATTATCTGAAAATTTAATTTAAATTGAAACCTAATGGATTCATATGGATTTAACTTAAATATGAGTTTTACAATTTTGTATTCAAAAGCAAACATGGTGATACCTCTTACAAAAGATGGACAGCGCGCGTCAATAAATGGCAGCCTTTTGCCCGGCGATTTCGAGGCTCAGAGCGTGCACTTCCATTGGGGATCGCCAAATAGCGCAGGATCGGAACATGCCATTAACTTTGAACGCTACGATGTGGAAATGCATATTGTTCATAAAAATAAGATTTATGACACAATGGGCGAGGCAACTTTGCATCCCGATGGTTTGGGTAATAAACTAATGCCAGTTTACTAAGTCTGTTATCTATACCAAATCAATATTTTTTAGCCGTTTTGGGCGTAATGTTTAGGGCAGTGGGACGTCAAAACTCTCAGCACTACGGACTCAACAAGATCTTCAATCAGTTGCCGAGAATCGAGCAATATAAGTCGAATGCAACAATAACCGGAAGACTGACTGTGGGGCAGTTGCTGGGAAATATCGTGACAGGAGAGTTTTTTACATATAACGGTGAGTAAAGGCGAAGCTTTAAAGGTATCTTGATGTGTGACGTATTTTTTTAGGATCTCTTACTACACCGGATTGTGCCGAAGCTGTTACATGGACTGTTTTTCCCGACGTTCTTAACTATCCTCGGCGTCAGATTGCAAAGCTCTGGAACCTCAAGGACCCTCGAAAAAATCCACTTATCAACAACTATCGCAGCCTTCAGGATACTAATGCTAGAGAGGTTTACTATCGAGCAATTTAATACAAAATACAATAAATAAACTTAAAGTTCGCATTCCTAATTCATATAGTGTGTTTAATAAGTTTAAACTGTACAAAACAAAACCATAAGATTTAGAATCATATAGTTACATACATCCAGGAAACTGTTCATCATACAACACCCTTAATTAACTGCGATTACAAGTTTAATTAACAAATTATCTCGCTAAAGAATCAGCTAACTTAAAAACAAGTTTTTTCAATCCCATTTGAGTGAATTTCGGTTCATGTAATCATGTTTGTTTTGTCAATAATGCATTTTTTTTTGTTGAAGATTTGTTAGCATAGGTCAGGTTAATATTATATAATTTATACGCGATTAAAACATTACAAACAAAAACAGGAAACGAATCAACGGAATTAAGAAAGAAACGACGACAAAGTCGTCTTCTAGCTGTCAGCTTTTAACAATGTTTTGTGAAGCCTAAAACTATGTTGCACTTTTATTATTTTTTATATTATTTCCTTAAGAGGGAACTTTTTTTTTAATTTTTTTCAAAAATTTTTTTGTAATTAACAATATTCTGATTTTGTCGTATCTCTTTAAAAGAAAAACGCTACATGTTGCCTGTGAATATTCAAACATTAATTAACCAATCAGAAAAACGGTTAAGAGCTTTATAATTGTGTGTAAGCATGCAGACGGGAAATCTAAAGCAAATATCGAGAATCAATTTAGAAAAAGCTTATTTTTGCTGAAGAAATCCCTTTCCGAAACGAGACATCCGGTGTATACTGGGACGAGAAAGAGTTCGCTTGGCTTCAGCCTTTGTATGGATATGAAAGATTTACTGCGCCATATACACGTATGTTCCGGAAAAGAGATATGGCAACTATTGGCACCGGAATTGAGGGAGGGGCGTTTCGCAGGTGAGGCCGAGATAAAGGACAAGTCAGCATCGATGTTACTCATACGCAGTGTGCACCAGACGCGCACACTCACCATAGACAATTTGCATTTGCAATTTTCATTGCATTCCCAAACTCCTCGCTTTTGACTGTCGCTTTTCGCGACTCACTGCGCATTGCGTTTTTCACATTTTTCATTTCCGTTTCCGTTTGCTGCCTCAAAAAGAGAGAAGAATATAAGCCCCATGGCAGGCTTTCTGCGCTTTGTGCGTTTATCTTGGCCGACTGCTTTTTCACCCCCCGTTTCTCCCCTGTCGCCTGCTTATTTGCAGATTAATTTGGTCCCACACTCACCTGGGGAGTAATATTTCGCACAATCCACTGTCATTCCCTCCGAAACTCCCACTTCATCCTGGCCATTTCCGTATGTGTCAATATGGTTCCAACAAACGACGGATTTATTCGTGGGTCGTAAAATTTGTTCTGCCTTTTCTGACTAATATTGATCTTGAATTATTAACTTTATTTTCGTCCTGGGCGGGAATGAATTTTAACTCTATCTTACTCATTTAGCGCCGGTTTTTTGACTGCCAGTTAGTTACTAAGACCGACAAAGCAAAGTTAAGTTCTTTTTTAAAGATATTGCTTATAAATTCTACACTACTTTATTTGCCTTTCTTTTAAAATGTTATCTGACGTCTAACAAAGTGCATTTGAAAGACAGACTTAACCAGTAATATTAAATGTGTCTTAAAGGTCAGTTTGATATTAAGGGTTTCCTGAAATTAGTCCTTGCCTCATCCTAAGAATATGTAATCATTTAAAGGAGTGGGGGTTTTAAAATCTGTATTTCTATGGCCACCACCAAAAACGTGTTCTTCATTTGCCTACGCAGCTCATAATCCAAGGGAGGGGAAAATCGTGTTTTTTTCGGGAATTAAGAACAAGTACTCAACTTGTTCCTGCTGCTGATGATGATGATGTTTCCGTCGGCTGACATTTAACGCGCATTTTACTAATTTCATTTTAAATTGTTGACAATTAAGGAAAATTGCCAAGACGAATCGAGAGAGCAGGACCTTCTGTTCCCATTTCCCATTTTGACCCCGCCGAAACACCACGTGCCATGTCGCAGTTAATTTGTTGGCAATAAGTTGGAGCACCAGGCCTAATTACAAAAACACGCACGACATGACTGCGAAATTTTCATTAAAATCGTTCCGTACTCACAAGGACAATGCCAGTTACAATGGAGTCCTTGGATCAGGAGCCCATTCGCCTGGCGTTGGGTCGAGCTGCCTGGTGGATGCCCAACCCTATTCCTAGTGGATCAGCACCACCATCCACCATCACCATCACCACTCAGCCTGCGAACCACTTACCTGAAACTTCCGCGGAGGAAACGCGAAAATTGTCATTTGCCGCCGCTTTAAAGGATTTGCTGCAGAACCTGTCCTTCCATTGTTACAGCAAATTAGTGGAGCAGGGTCGCCGGATTCAGGAGCGGTAGGTGGTCGGTCAGCCACATCCGGATGATAGGCGGCTGCCTATTTCAATTAGCTTTACCCATTACCCATTACCCGAATCCACTAAATTACACAGAAAAGAAATATAGATGCTAGTGGTAAAAAAAAAATCTGGTAAACAAACATAGTAAATATAAATTTTATCCATTGCGGTTTCTAGTTAATTTAATTATAGAAATATTAAATGTATTTATAAATTTTTATTGTGAAGATTTAATTTGAGTTATAGCCATATTAAACATCAACTTAATGAATTTTTGGAATCTGATTCAAAAATATTACTAAAATCATTATATATCAATTTTCAATTATCAATCCTCATTCATATATAAATGTTTTTCGTGCACCCGCAGTTTCTTTTGGTTCGTTTTCCACATAACCGCTTTGAGCGTCCTAATTGCATTCCTCTGGGGCACCTACACCAACGAACAGGAGGCCTTGGTGACCACCATGTACCATCCAATGTATCCCATTTGGAAGGTGGAGTTCCCGGCCGTTTCCGTGTGCAGTTCGAACCGCATCTCACAACGCGCGGCCTGGCATTATGCCCACAATCTGTGGGTTTGCCATGCGCTTTCCTTAAGGCCTCTTTAAATGTTTATCATTGCAGCAGTGGCAAGGATCCCAAGCTTCGCAATGCCAGCTTTTTCTATGGTCAACTGAAGGCGTTTATGTACATGTACTATGATCCCTCGGATCTGGTGGAAATAGATAATGCTTTGCGATTCCAGAGTTTCTTGGACAGGTTTGATACCGGAGAAGAGGAGCTCTTCTTTAATACCAGAAAACGTTTGCGTGCCCTTACGCCGAATTGTAGTGATATGTTTGTGAGCTGCAGAATTGCTGGACGACTGTTCGACTGCATGGATCAGTTTGAGGAGACTCTGACCAGTCATGGCTACTGTTGCACTTTCAACTACGATGGGAGGTATGTTTTACAGAATATAAAATTATTTTATACAGCCCGAAGGACCAGTCTGTCTGTAACTACAAAAGGTAAGCTTTAGAAACTGAGTCAAAAAATTTATCCGGCTCAAAGGACCAGACTATATAAATTTCATTAAATGTTTTTATATAAATCAAAAGTTATTAAAAAACGTGTACATCATTATCTTTACAGATACGTCAATAAGAGGGACTTTAGACAGCGCTACTTTGGCCCTGACATGGGACTAGTTTTGACTTTAAAGGCAGATCCCAGGGACAATTTTTACAAGATTAATGGTCACAATGGCTTTGTGGTGCGTGTAATTAATCAAGTAATACTATTATCTGTTTGGTTTAAATATTTAGATCTCCATTTATGAGTCTCACAGTTATCCCGATCCCTATTCCGGAGGAGTGGCTGAACGAGTAGCCGAAACGGGTTTTAACACCTTGCTGCCAGTAAGGGCCAAAATCTTTGAGACCCTGCCAGAGGCGCGTAGTATGAGTCAATCGGTGGTAAGAAGAAATTAAATATCTATTATAAGGTAAATAGTTTTTGGCTAAAAAACCAGCGCAAGTGCCTGTTTGAGAACGAGATGCCGTGGATCTTTACTCGACACTATACCTTCAGCAAGTGCATCTCGGCTTGCAGGGCGAAAAGTGTCGTGAGTCTTTGCGAATGCGTTCCGTTCAGCTTGCCGCACAGATATATCGATGGGAATGAGAGGCACATCTATTGCACATTGCAGCACCTGGCCTGCCTCAAGCGATACGAGTGTGGGTTTTAAGTGGAGTTAATCGCAAATTCATTGAATAAACTACTCCTTTCCCTCCGTCCAGTCAAGTGGTTGAATGTCATCACCAGTCGCGAGAATGTGACTGGCTTGGAGCACGAGCTGCAGGACGCCCTCTTCTGTCCACTCTGCTTGGCCTCCTGCACGGAGACCAGGTACAGTGTGCGAGGAGCCATGACTCTGGGCCTGCCCACTCCCAATCCGACCAAGGGTCCAAAGTAAGTCCACCAACCTACCCACCGGCGAAAGCGGATTCACTGCGGTGAAATTGCAACTCCGTTGTGCCCTCGATTCATTTACCATGCCAGGCATTCTTTTCAATTTCCATATGGAGCCAGTCCGTGGCCCAGCCCCATTCGCATGGCAAGCTCTAGTGCTGTCCATTTAGCTTTTTTGTTCAAAATTAAGATTAACTTACATTTTAGTTATTATTGATACATTCTATCTTAGAGTTAAAATCGTAAGCTAACAGTGAGATTTATGGAGCTATGGGAGCTCTAATGGATTATTCGAATATTATAATTTTATTTTTAATTTAATTTTATTTTAATGTTAGACCTAAGTATTTTGTAGACTTTTTATATGTTTAAATTACACCAATTGTATCATTTAAATGTATAAAATCGAGTTTAAATTTTTGCGATTTAATTCCTAAATTGAGGGCTATTTTATTCTTAATAAACTGTAGTTAGCCTTCTGTGTTTTTTGATTAGGTATTCCCACTTTGTACCACAGCCATTTGTGTCTTTTATATTCCGTCAGCACTGGCTTCACCGTGACTCCTTGCCGTCGTAAAAGATTTTCATTTTGCAGGCGAAGCAGTTCCGGACCCCGTGCCAATAACAGTTACGGCACCGGAAAAGTCCCCGGCTCATCCCAATCCTCATCCGCCTCCGCAGAACTGGCCGTGGTTCGTATTTATTTTGCCGAAACGCACATTCAATACTTTCGCCAGATTATTAAGAACGCCTGGTACGAGACCTTCAGTGAGTATTTTGGCAGGGGCTGGTTTTGCATATCTCACCCGACATTTATGTGTGCTCATGCCAGGTACAATTGGCAACATCTGCGGCATTATAGCCGGCTTCTCGCTGATTGGCATCTGCGAGCTGTTGTTTTTCCTAGCCAAACAATTATGGCTGGCCTGCCGCGCGGAACTTCGTGCCGAGCTCGCCCACATCCAGGCCCAAATGCGGACGCAGGTGGCGGAACCGGAAGTAGAGCGGCCGATGAAGTTGTTTATTCTGCCGTAATTGAGCCGCAATGCATCGTTAACTTTAGAGCCCACTGATTTTTATGCACATCTTTTTCGGACACATAAGTGTGCCCCTCCAAGCAACTCGAGTGCACTTACTTTGCATTGTCACATAAAAATAAACAGAACTCACGTACGTTTGCCAATTGGCGAGGTTGCCAAAAAGGCCCAGACGGTGACATTAGCGACGGCCAGTTGCCACATTTCCCGGCTGGCCAGTTGCCCAAACAGGGCTGGGTCACTCTCGACCAGTTACACACTTTACAAAATAACATAGAAAAAAATACTTCGTATCACTTTTTAGTTTTATTCTGAAGAATTCGCGGCTTAGAATTAGAAAATACTTGAAATGTAGTTACGCCGTTGCGTTACTTTTTTTTTTTAAGTGCTTTGCTATTAACACATAATAAACAAAGGTATTTCGTAGTATTTTAAATATATTGTTGACATTGAAATTTATTCTGAAGAATTCACGCCATAAATTTCAAAAGGTGTTGGGATATTACGGATTTATGCTACGTAAGTGTTAATAACTTCATTTTGAAGAACTATTTTTCATTTTGTATTGTATGATTTTTTTTCTTTTTGTGCAGCACTTACAATCAGCATTATCTTTTATTTCGTTGTATGCAGAGTTGGCAGAAAAAAGAGGAAACCACCCAGAAACAAACAAAATGCGGCACAGCAGCTGCCCGAAATCAATGTGGCAAATATGAGAATAAATTCGAGCAGGCCACTCCATCTCCATCGTTTGCGACAATTACAATTTCAAATATTCTTCTCGAATTAGTTTTATCTGCCGGAGTAATTTATGGCCAGACGCTCAAGGAGAAATAAGCAAAATTTCTGTTTACTTATTCAGCAAGGGGAAATTTTATTTTCTGGGTGGGATAGAGACAAGTGATTTGAGGCTTCATTAAAGCCTCACCTCAACGGATCCTTTGGTGGGCGTTTAAACTCCTGCCGATTCTTTTGCACAAAGCACCGAAAAATAACAGACAGACATTGGCCCGTATGTATGCAAATTTGCCAGAGAAATTGAAATGATTTTCCATCGAAATCTGTTCGCCAGTTGTTGACTTTACCCAAGCATAAAACTGCCTAAAAATTGCCAAAAATTTAAATGAAATGCATAGCATGGAGAGAAAACAAGCGAACGATGTCCGGAAAGCATTGTTAAACAAAAGAAGAGTGTGGGTGCTGGGAATTGGAATGAACAAAAAAAGAAGCAAAGAAATCTGCAGGACTTCGATTCGAGCCCTAGTATTATCGCACAATACAATATGTATATTGGATTATTTCGTTTGTGCGAGTTTGGCCAGAGAAACCAGGCAAACCAGACTCCTGAAACTCCAGGTGGGTGGCACTAATCCCCCGTATAGAATTTCAACCAATAACAGAAATATGCGAACGAAATCAAAAATACTTCTATGATTTTTTCAATCCTCCCCTGCCTCGAACCTTTTCTTTTTTATTTTTCCTACTTTCACTCCCCTCAGGGGAGCTGAAGTTTTTAATTGAATTCTCCATTGAGAGTGCGGAGTTCGGTGCTTCACTGCTTTTTGTAAGTTTTATGCCAAGTAACTGCATCAAAAGTGAAAAAAGTTGGTGAGATTAAAGGAGTGGCGTCCTAATAAGGAAATTACGTGGATATGTAGAGCAGTAACTTTATTATCAACATGTAGGATGTGTTGCGAAAAATTTTAATGGGCTTGCAGGGAACATGGGAGTTGAGCTCTTCAACGACTGACACAATTTGCACAGGTAGTGCTTTTAATTATGTTGCAAATAAAATCAACAGTGTCCCATGGGAAACTTTGCAAAATTAAAAAATAATAGTTTGGGGCATATAGCTTTATTTCACTGAATATGTGTACCTTTCGTCGAAAGAATTTTTAAATATAAATAAGTAGTAGTAACATCGTTTGTAAAAGTACATGTGACTCAAGAGATGTGGTAAGTTAGTACCCAACTGTATTGCCTTGAATTCCCCTGGTGCATAATCCATAAGCCCTCAAAAAAACCCACTTTACCATTTTCTTCACATAAATAAAGCTAAACATCTTTTGTGGCCTTATGGGGTTAAGCTAAGAGGATAAACTCAATGCCAATGCCCCTTCTGTGTCTGTGTTTCCTGCGGATGGTGCCCAAAATCCGGCAACCCATTTAAGGCACTTGGCCGTTCCTCTAGTTCAACTTGGTGTCCTGGCCCTTTTTCGTCCTCTTTTTTGTGTTGTGCCCCGCTTTTAAGCACTGCCAGAAATGTCAAGCTTCCCGGCCGTTTAAGCTTTCAATTTCGCTGCTTTCGTACGAAGTATGTGAGTGGGTAAAACAATTCAGGTTGAAGAAATAGGTTTACAAATAAAAAACAATTTTCTTCCTAAATTGAAGCAGTTATAATTATCTTAAAATCAATCAATTCTTTATGCTATTAATGAAAAAAAAAATTAATAAATATACATAATGTCCGTTTTTTACTTTAAAAGTTGTTCTCAAATCGCAAGGAAAGTACATTTATTTTACTTCCTTACAAAATTCTGAAGATCATTTTTTTTATCTATTTTTACTTAAACAAAATTTTATCTGTTATTTTAATTACTTTTTCATGTAAAATGTTCAGAAATTTGTTTGTTATTTTCAATAAAATATTTAAAATAAAATAGTTTATTATTAAAATAAAATAATAAATTTAACAATGTAAATAATAAACGTTTTATTCCATGAAGTCACTCTTGCCTGTTCCCTATCATTCTCTCTCAATTCCAGACAAATGAGAGCCTGGAAAAGTTGCGTTAGATCGTCGGCAATTCCCTTTGCCTCCAGCGAATTCGCCGCAGCTAGTCAATATCTCAACTCGTTTTCTTGCAGACAGTCGCGTGTGTGTTGCTCCGAGCGTTTTTAGTAAAAGAACAAATAATTAAAGGTTTCCAAAAGTGCTAATTGTTTATAAACACATTAAATAGTTCTCGGTTAAGCCATTTACCTATTGGTTTTGGCAGTTTTGGGTGGTTATCGAGCTTGAATCATTGTAATAATTACTGTTGTACTTCTTTGTATATGTGTGTGTGCATTTGCTGAGGCTCAATTCGCCTTGTGCGAAATACAATACGGCGTAGTTGACTTGCAGCGAATTCGCACAGGCGGCAAAAGTAAGTGTTCATTGGTAAAGGTTGATTACTCAAGTTTTGTTATAATTTGTGGCTAATATAATAGAAAGATTGACAAAACAGCCAAAAACATTATTAAAACTTAATAAATAAAATATTCCCTTAATGAATAAATAAAAAGAAGGCCCTGGCATCACTGTTTTACCATTTAATTATTAAAAATAAAATTATGAAGTTGTTGGTTCGAATATGTTTTTAAACGAAAAAGTAAGTTTATTTTTCAAAAAAATAATAATTTATTTTTAATTATTTTAATTTGTATAATAAAGGAGTTTAAGATAAGGGTAAATTTTTTTGTACACTGAATAAATTATATAACTTTTGAGCTATTGGTGTGCCCGCTGCTATTTGAGTGGGTAGGTGTGTCCCCGGGTGGCGCTGAATTATTTAAAACGCGAGTGTCACGAGGGGCGGAAGGGGCGGGTCTGCAAACTGTGCTGTTTCAAGCATTTCGCATTGTTCAAGTGCGTGTTTGTCAGCGAGCTTTTGGGCCAGAGTGTGTTTTAGCCAGTATTTATTTTTCGTCTACCCGATGTCTGCTGCCTCGACGACGCTTTCATGAATAAACATGCTAACAAATTACTATACTCGACAAACCCAAACAAAGGCAAAGCTCGCGCTTGCAAATTTAGCACCTGCGAACAAAGTTTTTGTTTGGGCTCGTCGTGTTCTTTCCCCAAGAGTCAGCATACAATGAAATGTAGGCTAAGATTCTAATAACAATTTTTGTGGTGATTTTATTTTCCTAAAGACGTTGGATGCCATTCATGTTTTTGAGGGGAGGATTGGAACGTTCGTGACGTGACAGGGGGTAATCTCTTTCAGCATGGAAGTTGCACATGCTCCATTGCATTTCTAAGCATGTCTAATGCTCGCTTGAATGGCTGGCTCAGTAGCTACTTCCATGGATTCAGCTTGCGTCAATAAGAAAAACTCACTCAAGCATTTTGCAGCAGCCAAGATACTGTGGTAAACAGAATAGAAGACCTAAACATATTTAATTGTATGTATTTCTTTTCAAGAAATATAACTTTAACAAATTTTTGAACAACAAAGATGGAATGGAAAACCTCATATAAAAAAAAAAGACTTTGTGGGAACCGGCACCAAGGAGCTAAGCCAGCGATGACGGTTGTAGGAGAGCGAGGCTCTCTCTCTCTTCCTAGACCTTGGATCACTGTTCTCAACATAATTAGTTTAGTTTGATTTTGGCACTCGCCGCGGAAGGAGAGTGAAAATAAAGAACATTTATAAAAGACAATCTAAAGTGATTTATTGAGTTGTTACAGACTTTTATAAAAATTACTAAAGATATACTGACTAAATTGGTAGGTCAAACTAATAAAACAATTAATATATAAATTAGACACAGAAAAGAGCTTAGCAAAACGTTTTATCTTATCTTGCAAAATAAAATATTCATAATTTATTATACTGAGTTAAGCAACGTTTATCACAAGTTGACCTAAGTTCATATGACCATATGTGGTCTACATATGTACATATATGTATACAAATATAATATTAACTTAATATAACTTTCATATATAAAAATGAATTTCAACCACTGTGTCTGGCAGCCGCGTTAGGAAGAAGCTGAATATTCAAATTCGAAGCTGTCAAAAATATTTGAAATGTTCTTAATGCATAACTCCCACTCGAACTCTCTTCGCTTTTTATGAAGGCTAGACATCAATCAACACCTTCGACAATTTGATTGACAGCAGCAGCAGAACGACAGCATGAAAAATAAATCTGTCATTTGCATTTCAAGTTCCGTTTGAAATCAATAGGAATATAGTACTTGAAAATCGGTTCTTGTTGCTTTTATTATTGTTATTATTATTGCTGCCAAAGTCAATTTGTCAAAAACAGGCCACTCCCCACCACTAAAAACCAGCAGATGCTTGTCAAAGCATTTCATTTTGTTTCGGTTCATTGCATTTTCTGTTTTCACTGCGGTCGCAATACAAAAAGAAACAACGAGGGGAAATCTCTCAATGTTTTCTTTCCAGCTTAAAAACAGATTTTCCCCGGCTTCCTGCCCAAATGATATATGTAAATATAAATATGCGAATGTGTATGATTTAAATTTATATATTAAAACCGCATATTTAATTAATATAAAATAAATGATCGGGAAATAAATTACGTTTTTCGGCTGATTGGCTGGTGGGGACAACGGCACATTTCGAATGCACCAGACCTGAAATGTTCGACTGAAAAATATTTGTTCACGGTTTTTGGCTTCAATGTTAACGCATTTCTCACACCTTTGTGGCCAGACTATTTGTTTAAATCATATTGAGGTATATTTGTTGTGCCGGTTAAACGCTTTTACAATTCTTTTATCTCTGTGCGATGCGAGGCGGAGTCTCGCCGGTTAATTATTTTAAGCTCCTTCATTACATTCAGCTGAATGGGGGGACGTAGTAACTTGTACATATGCTCGTACATATTATCCGGCGGAATAAAGCTGCCTCGTCTCGTGTACTTTACCTGTAGGTGCCCGGATTCAATTATGTCCGCTGTGTAAAATCGTGTTGGTTAAACTCGCTTATACCAAAAATATTTCTGCTTTATTAATAAAAAAATGTAATAAAGAAATTCGTTGAAATTTTTTCAAATGCAGAAACATACATTCTTTTTTTTATTTATTTAATTTAAAGGTTTCAGGTATCATAATAGGTTGTAAAGAAGAATTTTTGATTGGGTGGGTGCAGTCGGTGTCAATTTTTGTATGTTATGGACTTTAATCGTTATTACTGATATTTATACGACTTTAGGATAACAGTTAAATACTGGCTTTATCCTTTTTTCCAAGATTTTTCGAATTTGCTTTAATTTAAATTTTAAACACATGTTGATTGCGAAATTAAGTTGAAGAAATAAAATCGCTTTATATTTGTCGTAAGGGCGAGCCAGTTTTCTCATATTACACGTAGATGGGAAAATTGCTGTATACACACTTACTTGCGAATACAACAACCCAGGCACACTGAGGTTGTAATTTCGTTGGCGAGAATCTGGTCGAAAAATATCCTGCAGCTGATTTTTAATTACGAAAACACAAAAAGGATGTTGTTGCGACTTCGTGTGTGTAAACACCAAATACCCACACACTGCAGGCTAACCAACACACAAACATGCACTCGCTCACATCTGCAGACATTCCTAGGACCTCAATGAAGCCATCGTCTCTTGCCAGCAGATTTCAATTTTTGTGTGTTAATTACATTGCCGGCATAAGTTCGGGCCCTCGGTGGGCGTGGCCAAGAGGCGGTAGGCAGTGCCCCGCCCCGCCCCGCCCTCCCTTTTCCACACACTTGACTCCGCTTGTGCTTGTGTTAAGCATTTTGGCGCTTGTGAATGTTTAATTATCAAAAATTTGCACTTGATCCTTGTTTTTCGGTTCTCTTTTTCACTTAATAGTCCCTCTGTGTGTGAGTGCGGCTTATGGTAATTGCATATGTGTGTGCTTAATGTTTTCGCAAGTGTGTGTTCTATATCTCAATTACTACGTTCATGCGCCTTATACTTAATGGATAATATTATATGCCAATAGCTTAGTCATTGTTTATAAGATATTGTATAAATATAGTGTATAAATATTTATTTATTTGTCTATAGCTCCTAACATATTTTAAGCAGAGGACATTTCTTTGTATACAAAATAAATAAACTTCGTTAAGTGATTCCTTATAATATAGTTTTCTACTGAAAGTATTGCAAACAATCAAGTTGTTTGTAGTTAACTACAAAATGCGTATAATCGCACCATATTTGTTTAGCAATATTGTGTAAGCTGCAATTGGATTTCCCTTTATTTTGTTGCCAGCTTGCATAATTCAGATCAACAAAAGCCTCATAGTTGCTCTGTCGTCTATTTATTTATTAATGCACTTCAAAGCAAACTCCGCCAAACAAAAACCAACAACAGGGCAAATTATTTATAATTACAAGCGGAAGAACACCAAAGAGGCGAGGATAAACCGAAAACAAGGCTAAGTCGCCGCACATTTTTCATTTTTATTTCCTGTAGAGAAAACAAATAAAAAAGGCAGCAGCAATACCAAGATAATTTAATGCCTTTAAAACAGCGAAATGCCGTTAAGACCAACAAAGGAAACCGTTTTCTGTAGGATTCTCCCAGAGACTTTCCTTCTTCGTCGGTGTTGTCTGTTATTATCCCGTTGTCGCCTGACAAATAAACACATACATCCAAGTCCGTCCTCTAAAAGCGACTGCAACAACAAGAACATTAAATTAAATACATAAATCATATTTTTTTTTGTGCATGCCGACAGGGCGACGATAAGGTGAGGGAGTATTATTTTTGGTTGGGTCTGTGGTCGGGGGAGAAATAAAACTTTAAGGCGCCCCCAGAATGGGGAACAGAATATTATGTTACAGTCATTTTTTGTTTCGTTTTGTTGTAATTAAAATTGTCAACCAGTTGCAGACATTATTTATCATTTCCTTTTTTCGAGGACATTGGCCGTCTGGATTAAGGCAGCAGTTGAAAATTTAATAATACCAAATTTTCATCGTGTGTTCCATTAACCCACCAAATAATTAATAGGCACTAGATCATGCCACGCCCCACCTTTGACCAACAACACTCTGACAGACACACTCACTTCATACGCCAGCCTTATCGGACAATGTATCTGCATAATTAATTGTTAATGATGATAAGGTGGAATTAACAAGCTTTCATGTAGGCCCTCGATATTAATTTATGTATACGAACAGGACAGATTTAAAATTAATTTCATATTATTTGCTAAATCAACTGTAAAAGCGATAAATTAATAGTTCAAATAAATTAAAAGAGAAAAAATGTTTTATCACAAATGAGGATTATATTATTCAAACCCAAACTCTTTAAGAACTGTCCATAAAACTTGTTTAAAATCAAAGAGTTTTTTCTTTCTTCTCCAAAGTCACCATGAATCAAATATGGAAAGGCACCATGAGCATATTTTGTTGGCCCTTTTTAGGAAAGGATTTATAGGTTATCCTGGGAAATCGAAATGTGGAGTCAAGGCCAAAAGTGGTTGCCTAAATAAATTCACAAATCGGTTTAGGCCGAAGTTTCCGGCTGGGTTTTCATGGGCTGTTTGTCTTTTTTACGAGCTTGGTTTGTTAATGCAAAAGTTACTCCGGCGAAGGGGAGTTAAAAGTGCTTACCGCGCTCTTAACACTTTTTTTACCCAATTCAGGTAAACTAAGCAGCTTGGCATAAATTTGTACTTGGCTTTCAAATGTTTGCCTTGCATTTAATTTTGATGAACAAATTTTTTGTTTGGCTGCGGTGGTTACTTAGTTTGTTGTCACTTTTAATTGTTGCATATTTAATGTGTGGCCACCGTAGCTCATTACTTGGCTCCGTTTTATAGCCTTTTCACGACACTGACGCCCATCAAATTTCCCCAACGCTACGGTTGCATATTTGAGTTTAGTGTTTGCTTGCTTAATTCCAGGGATTTCTGTACACCCTTCATGTGTTTTTTTTTTTGGTTTAACAATCTCCATTACAGCGGACCTGTACATATTTTCTATGTGCAGCGCTGTAAAAGTTGCATAAAATAAATGTGCACCGAAAACCTGCAATAATAATAAAAATAATAATTTGCGTTGCCAACGCAATGACCAGAGCTCAAGGGTCGCAGTCGCAACTCGGAATTTTCCGAGCTCTTTCGTTCGTTTGCTCTTTTCTGCTTCATTTTAAACGATGATACTTAAATTTCCATTAAAGCACTTGCCGCGACCATCAATAAACGTGGCCAGAAGAGGAAAAGTGGAAAAGTGGGTGAGGGTGAGGGGGAGGGCAACGGACTGCGTAGTTTTTTACCAACCAAAGTCAAGCATACTCTGCGGTTACCCCCCCAATAGCATTCATTTCGTACCACCCATCGTAGCTATGGCAAAAGTGCGGGAAGTAGGTACAAATATTTACAGTGCACAACTTTTGCAAGTATATAATAAGTTTGTATTGGCTAGAGATGCACAAATTACGGTGGTCAGGGTAGGGAAATTTAAATACAAATTGCATTTATTTTCATTTACAGAGGAGTACTTTGTCCTCCTTTCTGTTCGTTGTTGTTTTAAATTTACCATACTGCGATTTGAAAGTCCTATGTCTTATAATAATAACGAATGAAATAGCAAATAGTTGATTTATTTCCTTAAATATTTTATACTTCCAAGAAAGTGTTTTCTTTACTTTAAATACAATACTACTCATTTTCCACCTCTGGCTGCGTTTTTTTTGTAGGCCTGCCAATGCCAAACAAATTGGTATATATTTATATAATTTATATGTAAAGCGAGTGGCGCAATGACGAGTGCCACACAATTTCATTACTGGTTTCTGTGTGGGCTCGTTTGTGAGCTACCAGAACTTTTTTTCCCAGGTTTTCCCATTTAAGCAACTAGCCAGGCCGCAAATATTTGCACTTTAAAATAAATTTCACGCAAAGGCAGCACATGGATTCTGGCCTAAAAACGTTGCATCAGCTGCCGAGAAGAAACCAGATGAAGAGTTGCGAGCCTGCGGCAAGAACGGCAAACTGCAAACTGCAACCAAGAAACATCGAAGCACTCGGGCGGAGTTCAATGCAATTCATGGCAAAATAATTATATAATGTTGCCAACTGGAAATATATTTATGAGCTTAGAGGAGCAGCAGCCACTTGGCATTTCATTGTTGACTCTCTAATTCTTAGGTTCATGGCCTCGGGTGTCCGATGGGTAAAGGATAATAATAACTTTTGCCGACCCGTGGCAGCCTTAATAATAATGATAATGTGTCATAAGGCAATTATTCAGTTGCAAAAGGTTGCTGAAGGGAAGCGCAGCGCCATAAATAAATATCCTGCAGTTATTTGGAGTGTGTGTTGACAGCGAAATTGATTGCAATTAATGGGGGCTCACCAGGTGGAGAGGGAGTTGTATGAATACGCTGCTGTACATATCTGCATGTATCCTCCAGTTGAGTCTACTGCAAAGACTGGTCTGAAGTGCAACAGTTTGCGCCCGAGTGCCCCAGCTCAAAAGATGTTGATGGACAAAGCAAACAGCTACAGAAACCGAAACAGAAACAGAAACTTAGCCAAGACAACTCAAGAGTACAGCGAAGGCAAGTCGAGAAATCTTGAGATGCCTTTGCATGGCTTATCAATTAGGCAAATTAGTTGTTTATGCTTGAAATGCATAACTCCACCTAAGTATGCCAAGGCTCTTCGAACACTTAGTAAGCTGTTTAAATAAAGACAACTGAACTTAAAGATGCTAGGGAAACATTGAGAAAAACGGAAAGAAAATATTTGTAAATAAATAAAATGGTTTCACTTATTAAAAGACTAAAATTAAAAAGATTGATGTATAATTTAGTTAGCTTGTTAGTGAAAAACAAAATAAGCAATGCCAGCTAAATATGTTTTATTTTTGTTTTGATTAACTCGATAACTCAAAAATGGTTGTGTTTCCATATTAATTTATCACTTTTAACTCAAACTTTTAAAACACAATCACATATTATCATTTTGTCATATTTTTTAGGTATTACTATGTATACTATGAGAATAAATTTATACTAAAATGTAACGCATATTTCCTTACAGTGCAGCAAAGCCAATTTGGCTATGTCAATAGAAGCAAAGGACATGAAAGAATGGCAGCCCGAGGGACTCGACTCTGCGGAACTGGGACTACGACCAGCAAGCATGTAAATATTCAAATCAAAAGCGCAATTGAATGTGCGAGTAAATGTCATCGTATCTTGCATTCAAATCTTTGATTGCCAGCCATTCAGGACGGCAAGTTTATTGCACTACTCTTGGCACTCAGCCATATCAGAGGGGGAACTGGGGGAATCCCATTCCGGTCCCATTCACCTGTTCCCGAGTTCTCCATTTCTCCAGTTCACCAGTTCGAATGACACTCTCTGGGAATTGACACAGAATAGCTGCCAAATGCCAGGGCACAACGCGAAATGAGGAAGTGTTTAAATAAAAAAGGAGGAAAAGAAAAGCAAAAAGAAGAACTAGGACTGAGTCCACACAGTCCAGGCCAGATATATATAGCATATTGTGTCCATATAGGGTAGTAGTGGTTGTTGCAACAGGAAGTTGGCACAGCCAACGTGGAGTGGCATTGATCTTAGCATTGGACACGGCTGAATGCTAAATGCTAAACGCTAAAGCTGAATGCCGATGTTGAGTCGGCGATGTTGAGGTTGAGGTTGAGTCGCCTGCAGGTCAGTAATACTTAATGCCAAGTAGGTTTCGAGTTACCAACTTGATATTGAATCATGGAAGGGCTTTAGTTTGGAGTGCTGCTGGCTAGTTCGTTGAACCGCTCCTCGAGTGGATAGCATTGGAGTGTCCCCGCTTAAGTATTTAATGGGGCACTGGGATTAAGAGTGTTTCATTGGAGCGATAACTGCATACTTGCCTTCAGAATCTGCGTACATGTAGACTGCTAAAAAATGGCACCCATTATTGTTTTTTTTTTTGGTAGTTGAATTAAATACTTTTTTTAGTATTAAGAACAGGTCTTAAGATTATATTCATTCCTACAAGAGATCAGCATTAAAAAGATAAACAAATATAAAATAACCAGTCACTCCTTATTTTCCAGTAAAAATATAATTTTCTGATGTTGAAATATGATTTAATGATTTAATTTAAAATAAATTTAAGTTTAAGTCCAAGATCAAAGAAAACCTCCTCTAAAAATAAGCAAACCACTATTATGTTTGCATTAAACAAGCCTTCATCACTTGATCAATGCATTTGCATCTTACCAACGTTTGCACAATCAATTAGCACCACATTGCGTATGATTGATTTAGTGTTGAGTAGTATTTATGGCTGCTAAAGGTTCGTTTATCGATGATGCTCGCACATACAGAGCTTTTGTTTGCATTTCACGGTGGTATTTGCGCCATAGTGACTTGGAATAGCTAATAAATATTTGTGCAACGTTGCGTATGACTAATGTATTTCTGTGTGAACATGTGTTTGGGCATAAATTAAATGCCAGCCAATTCAAATAACCGAATGCCAAGCGTTCGACGGTTGTTTGAATTGCGTTTAAATTCATTAAAATTTAATACATATGAAAATTAATTAAAAAGCCACTCAAAGTGTCGGCATGCTTTACCCGCGGGTCGTTGATTTGTCTATTCGATTATGGCCAGTTAGGCAAAAAGGGCAATTAAAACTTGAACAATTGCCGATGGCAATTAAAAGTGAATAATAATTTTTATTTTTTCGATAGCATTTTTTAGAATTTTTTTTAGGATGTTTTTAGTTGAGTTTTTTAACCATTTTTTTTTGGATGCATAAATTCAAATATGAAACGTGAGGTTTAAAAGGTTGCCAGGGCACTTTTTGTTTCAATTGTCATCCAGGACTTGCCATTGGGAAATTAAATGCCAACTCCAGACTCGAGGGCGTGGCTGTGGGCTTTTGTCGAAATGTGTTTTTCCACAGGAGTTGGTATTTTCTATAGTTAAACACGTACACGGAGATGACTTCACCGGCATTGGCATTGTGGATATGTGTGTGCTTGCCGTTCCACTTGAGGTGTTTTTAAATGCGACGAAATCTTTATGGAGTTGCCTATGCGCTGGCTTACAGAAAAGCATCTTCTTAGCCTAAGCCGTAAGTACAAGTATCTATGTGTGTGGAGTATCCTATCTGCGATGCGTAACGCTCCTGGGATGCTTTTAAGGTTTCGCAAACAGAGTTTTCAGACTTTGTAAGTCTGCATGTGTACAAAATGTTGGCCATAAAATGGTTCTGGCTAACACCGAACAAAAATGTTAATAATTTAGTTGTACATGAAATAACCACCATTCTATACAATTTTGCTGTTTAACAATTTTAAAAAAAAATGTTAGTTTAGGATATACATTTTTAACATTGCAAACTCAAGCTTATAGTATTTTTTTTTCCTTAAAATTTTTGTCGCTTATACGTAGATGATCATGTTTTCTTGGCAGAGTAGCTAATGCTCCTTCGATAAAAACGAAGCATTTCCCAGAGTATTCCCAATTCTGTAGCTGCGAGCATTTCTCCCCTGATGTTCTGTATGCATTTATACATTTATGCTAATCGCGTTGGTGCGTCGTAATGCCGCTACTTTAAGTCGTTGGGCTTTTAAAGGCCCCAGAAACGGCAGAAACGCAGCTGCCAATACCATTCCCTTAGCCAGCTACCAGTTGGCAGTTACATTTGGGACCGCAAGCTGAAGCACAATCCCAAAGTCACGGGCTGAAGTTAAGGCCCACCTATGTATGTCTGCTGTTGGGGATTTCGTGGAGCATTTTCTCAGCATCCTTTCATAACACCAACCAACCAGTCAACACACAGCTTCCTTGTCGGCGGCGGTTCCTCACAATGCGCTTTGTGTTCGACTTGTTTGAAAAACTATTTTACATTTAAGCGCGAAATTCCACACTATGAATGAATTTTTCATGAGCCCGCGGACAGGGGCACTTGACTCGCCTCGTCCTCCGTGGATTTCCAGCTTAGTTTTATCCCTACATCATTATCATCATGGTCGGGTTTTCGGTCTGCTGGGAGCTGTTCGAAGTCTGAACCCTTTGGTCAGTTGCATGGCATTTTAATTGAATTGATTATTTCAGTGGTCGGGTGTGATATTGATGTTTGTGCACCCAAGTTCGCTTCGGTTCAGTTTGGTTTAGACGGTTTGTTTTTTAGCCAGCCACGTACAAATAATAATGATTTGGCCCCCAACTCGGCAGGCAGACTCCTTTGCATGTGAATCGCAGTCGGAGCCCCTGGCTCAATTGTATTTTATCTGCTGCAATTTAACCCAAATTCCAGCGCTTGGAAATTGCATTTGGAGCAACGCTTTTAGGTTGTGCAAAAGTGCAGGCCAAAACAATGCGGGCGTGTCCAGGTAAAGAAAAGCCAAGACCAGACCGCAAAACAGGGCCCAGTGCTAAACCTCGAGAACTGGAGACCACCACAAGTTGAGAACCAAGACCAAATAAGCCCCAGGCGCGGCAATTTAAATTGTTTGTAATTTTGTTCTGGTTTCTATTCTATTTTTGCTTTCTTTGGCGGGGAATTGCTGGTAAGTGCTTTTGGCATTCTAACAAAATGATTATTGATCACTTAATAAGAATTTTTCATACAATGGCGCCAAAGAAAGAGAATTGCCGGCAAATCTGGTCTTTGTCTGCATCTTTTGCGCGCCAAGGACCTCGGTCCCCTCCCCACCGAACACAAAGGCAATTTTAATGAGCTACCCACGCAACGGTGCATTTTAATGCAAAATAAATACGCCTGACAAATTGACGGAGAAAAGTCGGAGAACTGGTTTTGGGGACATGTCAAAGGGAAAGTATCCATTACTTGCCTGCAAGTTGCGCACTGCCCGAAATGAAAGGCAGCCTCACTTCCACCTGTATCAAGCCAAGCCAAGTGAATTCAATTCATTCAGCGCAATTTCAGCAATTCCTTCTGCGATAAGAGAACAAATGCTGTAATACACACAAAAAAAATATTCATTTGTAAAATGTAATCTTTTATCTTGTGTTTGTATTAATTAAAGTATCAATTGGCCTTACACTTTTTTATTTTTAAGCTAAAATATAATTTAAAATGTTAACTTATACTTTCTGTTTCCAACTTAATACTTTTAAAAATATATTAATATTATCTATGTACTTTTTAAAATAATTTTTGCAAGTTCAGAAATCTAGAAGTTTTTTTTCACAATTTCTTCAATGCTTCACTGCCAATTTAAATTATTAATTTTATTATTTGGTCATTATATTAATTTAACATCATATTTTTTTCTCTGATTTTACTCGAACCGAGTGTATTCGAATGTTTCTTGTCGTGTTTTTTTACGTACCCGTAATGATGCCGATGAAACGCCATGGCAATTGAAGGCAGCCTTCAGCCCGATAAGATATATATTCAAAGACAGATAGATAGAGTGCATAGTTCCGCCCACACAAAAGATGTGCTGCTGCTGTCAACTTGAGACGAGATTATTTGCTACTTGAATGCAAACGATACGTCGTCGATGCGGAATCAAAGTAAATTTGAGTTGTCTAGGGCTGCAAAGTGAATCATGGGCTCAATATTTGGCCTGGGCAAATTAATAACCGATTTCGCGATTCGTTTTCAATTATAATTGAAAACAATTTGGCACAATTGAAAGTCGTGACTTCAATTATTTAAAGATTTATCAGACCAAAAATCATTTTTTGTAGCAGTCATTTTGACTGGTATTTATGATTTTAATTTTGTCAAAAGCTTGTCAAATCAAAGAAGCCAATCGAACTCAGCGTGTGACAAGGAAAGTGATTTCCCAGCTGGAGTTTTTCCGCTTTATGCGAAAAGTTAATTGCTTTCGCAGCAAGCAACTTCATGAACTTTAAGCGCCGCACCAGATTTTTCCGCCCCGACAAGAGTGACCCATTTATGGTCCACTTCCAATCAAAAGTGAAAGAACTTACCTTCAAATGCACAGATAGACATCTCGTTGCAGTCGTTGTATTTGCTCGAACTGGAAAAAGTATCTCATGGCTTCGTTCTCGGTCTTTTTCTCCGCTACGTTCTGCAGATTGTCATTTGGCGATAAGGCTGTGCCTGCAAGGCCCAATCTAAATGAAATCCAGATACATTTGTAGTCGCAGCGACCCAGTTTCATTCATGTAATGAAAGCAAAACTATAGTGCCTCTTGTGTCGATTGACTCATAAGCAAATTTTACTTTTCCTCGGTTATATTTTTCTCTTTTTTTTTTATCTTTTGCTCGTGTTTTGGTTTTTATCGTTTGCCATTGAAATGGCCGTACTTCAATTGAGGCTCATAAATTTTTACAGTCTGACATTTTGTTTATTTATCTAGGCATTCGGGCGTGTCTATTTTTAAACGGTCTGACTAACTGACTTTTGCACCTAAGA